ATAACTTTCAAATAAATTCTCGATTTTCCAACGTTTAAATCTCCCAAGAAACAACTAAACCTAACGATCTGCGAGTCATTCGCAACTGCGACAAGGGCGTAACGATTAGATCACTGTCGCGACGATACCAGGATTACTTAGGGATTCGGTAGACGGTTCGCGCAAAGTCATCCTTCTGATTAGTTGAAACGACCACGTAGATCCACGATTACGTCGTCCACGGTACAACACTCTCCGTCCTAATTAACGACGTTTGCATTTTCAACTGATTTACAGGCGCCAACAACGTTCCACCTCTGGAACAAATAACTTCCTCTCGTCTAACAGCTACCAAAGACAAGTCGGAGGAGCAAGTTGCCGCTTCGCTCTTAGATCAAAATCGTGGATCTTTGAACGCGGATACTCCAAAAGACTTGGAACAGCGAGAGAACGAAACTTCTCGATCCCAAATCAACTCGAAGTCTGTATGTCAAGGTATCGAGTCGAAGTTACCGACCGTTGAGATGTCTGCATCGAAAACGTCGCCAGGAAGCAAGTCAAAGGCGTCGTCGAGCGTAGTCAGAAGTCAGACCACAGATTCAGCAGATAGTACGGAGAATCCGGAGGTAGACGAAGAAATTTCAGATCCCCAATTTTCGACGGTAGAGTCGATACGGTCGCCGAATAAAAGAAGAATGGCGCCAAAACCTCCAGCGATCGATTCTACGGAAGAACTGGCTCCCAGTTGTAGCTTGTTCGCCAGGAATCCCGGAGCGAATTTCAAATCAGACTCTCCGGTGGTCAGGGAAAAAGAGAAGAGAGAAAGAGCCTCGTCGTGCAGCCCGAAGTTTCGAAAAGCTGTCTCAGATCTTCCAGATCCTACGAGCGCGCAAACGTGCGATCCAGCGTCCAGAAGAACGATATCTCTGTCGCAGGATAGCCTGGCAAGTGGGCCAGAAGTTAGAGAAGAAAAGAAGAGAGGTAGACCGCGTTTCTCTTTGAAGAGATTTCTCAGGATGGGTTCGAGGAAAGACGTGGATATGGTTAGCGGTCACGCGTCCAACTCGAGGATCGACGAAATACCATCGACGCCGCAACCTAAACCACGATTAGAAATTATTCATCCGTTGGAGTTGGATGGTGCTGCTGTTGAAGTGGTGGGAAACGATCGGATTAGCAGGATAAGCGAAGATCAACCAGATTCCTGCGGTTCTAAGAACGACGCGGGAAGAGCAACTCGATCGCCGTTGTCCGCCGGATCGCACGCCGCCGGTAAGTTTTCCTTTTGACACACGATCGCTCTATCCGATAATGATCTATCTTGGTGAGGGATCGAGGGAAACGGAGAAGCGGTTCTTTTAGAATTTCGTCCATAATTTTGGCTTATCAAAATTTACCTGGTCTCCCTTTGTCAATTAATTAGCATGTATATTAGTGGTACGGACATCATCGTGTCACGTTCATTTCGCAGTCTCCTCAAAGAGAACGTTTAATATTCAAGCGCGTACCGCGATGGTTCTCCACCATCGAGAGCGAATTCTCCGAATATAGTAAATTTGCAAGGACCGTATGCCGCCTGTATAAAATATGCGTTACTATGTTATTGTAGCGAGACCAGGGAAACCGCCGCCACCACCAAGGAACCAGTCTTTGGAGGATTGGTCGAGACTGGATCCAGCTAGCAAACCGGTCAGACCACCACCGCCACGCGTCGAGACCAAACAACTACCGTCGAGGAACGACAAGTCATCCACAAAATCGTCGCCCTCGTCGTCCACATCTTCAACGTCCTCGTCGTCTACGTCGTCGTCTTCGACATCGTCCTGGCAGCCAGCAGCCTCGACCACCTCAGACTCGATTTACGCGAATCTGGGTAAGTTCAGGCCCATCCAATGTAACTAATGATTATCCACGGCAAAAATCTCGATGTTGTAACAGCCATACTCACACGAATCCTCGCGCCAGCTGCTTCCTTGACGAATTTACAGTTTTCTTTGCGAGAGTACGTCCGATCGGGGAATATAATCCTGTAACGCTGGATAACGGTGGTTAACTCTCACCTTTCCCTCACCGGTTTTTTTCTTCGTTCCTCGTTTCGCCGGGTCGACGTACGGTCGTCGTGAAATTGCCGTTTCTTTATACCCGTCTGCCCCCTTTTTTCTCAATTTGGATAGTGCTCGTTTGTCCGTGCCTGGACACGAACGAGGACTTAGACGATCGATGAAGACGAAGAGTCGCGTGATCCTGTTTATATCGGGATTCCCGTGAATCAGTCAGATTAATATTCTTCTCGAAGTTACGTTCTCTTTTAAACTTTTGCTATATGCCATACGCGTTTCGTATTCTAATTATTGTTTCTTATACTCTATACGACTAATCCCTTCGAACGACTATACTCTATACTCGTGTACTTTCTCGACTAATTGCTCTATTTAGAGACATTATACCGAACGATTCACGATTCTCTGTGATATATCTTATTACCGTCTTGTTAGATAAAACAACGCGCGATGACGTTTCGCGCTTCGTGTTTTTCAACAGCTACGTTTGTCGACGAAACACCGTAGTTGTGATTGTCTTTTTTGTACCGCGCGAATCGCCGTCGTTTTGATACAGAAATTTCTCTATCGAACGAGCTAAAGTTGCCTCCAACGGACCAGAGTGCGATCAAGAGTTTGAGAATGGCTGACCGAATTTAAGAAAGAATTTGAAACTGGAAAAAGTGCGAAACCAGTTGTATGAACCGATGATTACACATTGTTTTTTTTTTTTTTTGTAAATAAAACCATAGAAATGGAGTACGAAAGATTCTGTAACCTCGAATTTCTGTGTCTGAAATAAACGTTTGTTGCCTGAAAAACCAGAGAGCCTTGTTTTCTTGGTCACGTAATATTCTCGCAATTTTTTCTTTCTTTCTTTTTCTTTTCTTTTAGATTTTTGGTTCGTTGCACCCGTCGTGATCCCAGTATCTCTCTATCCGTTGCGTGTGCTTTCTCCTTTCTTTTTTCTTTTTTCATGACGAACGGAACGAAGGCCTCGACGATGTGAAACGACGAAGCGAAAAAAGGAACCACGATCGTTCCCATTCATAATTGTTATTGGATTGCGATCGTTTGACGTTTGCGCGGTTCGATTTGGGGTTGCTTCATCGTTAACCGCATGCACCGGATACGACTGTATTCAAAAACCACGCGAAACTTGCATACGTTCCCTTTTTCATCCATCATCCCGCTCGTTCCATTATTTCCTTTCTTTCCTTAATACGTTCGTTACCATTTACCGAATAGAAATATCCTTGTCAAACGACCCTCTTAAACCACATTGTTAAAGTCCATCTTTTGTAAACTTCTTGGTTTCCTTAAACTTTAAAATTGTTCTTCTATAAAAGGTTTTCATTTTTGCGTAATATACGCGCGAAATTAGCAAATATCACGTGATTTACAAACAAGCATGCACGCAATGAGTGATAGCGGTATTCCTTCATTTCGATTCAAAAAGACAATTTCATTCGCGTGCTAAGCATCGATCTACTCGACACCTTCCTTCTCTCACGGACGACGAGCCGAATTTGCTTTGGTTAGACGAGAATCGAACAGCTATAGGGTAGAGAGGTGCTCGTCTCATTCCTAGTCCGCTGTAAATAGTGAACATGTCGGCGGCGACGTGACAACGGTGGTAGGATTGTTGCGCAAGGTATCCTTAACCGTCCCAGGGTGCAACTAACGCCGCATGTATTGATTGCATATTAGCATCGTGTTCTCTCCCCCTTCCCTTTCAGTCAAACCTTGATAACGAATGCCTGCCAATTCCAGGATTCCCGATGATTCGCGCAGGAACTCTAAACGCCACTTAATTCACTGTGTTTCGCCCTGGAATTTCTAGAACTCTATTGAACCCTTTAGCTCCGCCGGAACTTCTCCAAGGAATTAGGATACCGAGAGAGATGTGTCTCTCCTTCCACAGGAATTACGTTTCCAATTGATACGAACGGTGTTATTTAGTCGATTTAACATTGGAAGAAAGTTGAAGGGTTAAATAGACACGATTCTCGTTATTCGATTATCATACAGTATCGGATCGTTCGATAAGCTGGTGCTGATTTTTGTAGCACAATATCTAATTCGCAGCGTCAATTACTACGCGTCATCGGTATTATGTATAGATGGAAACCTCGATTTCTCGTATTTCTATATTCTCGATTTCCATTCGCCAAGAACATGCTGTTCATAATAGAGCCGCGAGAATGGGTCTGCCAGGTACAAAGTTGATTTAAACCTCGAAAATGGATGAATTGTTCGGATATAAAACAATTGTAGGAAAATGGAGTTCTAAAACAAACGGAACAGTTGAAAAAAATCATTGAGCAAAACTGTACGTGTATATCGTATTAAAAATACACGTATTTCAAAAAGGTAATGTTACGAACCATTTAAAAATCGATACAAAACTTATCGAACGATCGAATAAACTACCATTATCATTATCGTACTTACGCTGTAGTCGTATTCGTAAGAGTTTTATCGGAAAAATGATTCACGATTGAAACACCGACGAGCGGAAGAACGATCCGAAATCGTCGATACGACGACCTCGAGTGATTCACCAACGTGTCTGATTTGTCGCTTTGCCCTCGTCCTCTCGCAACAACAGTCCATTCTGCATAGATATACACATACGTATGTACGTGCTAGCGCGTCTCTAGTGTTTTAGCCGGGAACGATAATTCCGTCTCTCCTAGCACGCTAGTACGCTAGCTAGCCTGTTTTGTGACATGCCTTGTGTCTTGTGGTACTAACCCATGGCGCTTGACGATGGCGGACGTGCCTGCAGCAGCGGAGGATGTTACAGGTGAGGTGCGCAGCTCGTTGGCACCCTCGAAACCGCAAAGAACCGCCAGCATGAGGGACCAAGCGACCTCGCAGCCAATCCTCAAGAAACACGGCTCTTCAAGCCCGGCCCTTAATCAGGATTACGAGACTGTCGCGGTTACTGCGCCACCCACGTCCGATTCTCTGGTAATGCTACAATTAATGGGCTTTTAACGATTTTTATGGCTGACCGCGGAAGTGTACACAGGAAGTAGGAAGAAAGGTGTTCAAGAATTTAAGGCTACCGTAATGTCTCACCTATTAGACGTCAGTGTGCTCTCGAAATAACACTTATGGCACGTTCGGCTAGGTTAGTACATAGTACGTACAGTGTTCTCAGCGTTCACCATTCGGCGTTAATACATTGGTGGATTATGTTTGATCGGTTCTTGAAACATCTTCCTTTGTCGATCCGTTTACACGATTTGCATGACAAGAATGATGGTACAGGTAAGGTGAGAGGGAATCTGCAAGTCAAAATAAGTTGAAAACTAAAAATAACGAAACAGAGTTGGAGCATTTTATCGTTTCGAAATAAAATTTTTTTCACGAGTCGTGCTAATTTCAACTGTTTTTCCAAAAGTTCCTTTCTGTACGAGAACTCTAACACGATGTTGTTATTGTTGCTTTCTGTCTCATTTTCACTCGTAGAATCTCCTCGTTTCATTTGTACCACAATTTCGTTACATAGAATTACCATATCTAACGAGTTACTAATTCCAGCGTGGTTTCACACGATTTTTCCAGACGTCTAACGACAGTCATGTTTACGAGTGCCTTTCTAGCTCGCCGGAGTGCGATTCGAATCTCGAGCTGCGCCACACTGGCGTATCTCATCTCAGCTGCAAGAGGAAATCCGACAGCAACGCGATGGAACCCGCTTCGGAATTCAAATTTCATCATCAGACGTTCGTCAGATCGACTTCGCTTCCATATTGCGGCAGCGAGACCGAGAGCGAGTTGTATGCCCCGTATGGTTTTTACACCGGTGACGAGGTACGATCTCGTGCTATTTTCCGAACTGGACGTGACCGCGTGGGTGGTCGCGTAAGATATCGGAAACTGTACAACCAAAGAACGTATGTGCTAGTTTTAAAATTATGGCGACTACCGTGGAGCGCCATCGAAACGAACAAATTTGATGCTACACACGATTCGGTTTCGAATAATTTGATCGAAATTCTGGTCTCGTAGCGATGTCAACGAAACTTTAAAATGTTTCGTACCTCGCACTCGATGTAACATATTCGTGAAAAGTGTCTGCAAGAGTCGGAATACTTTCGTGAATCGGTGTATGTATATTACGTTTCCGTCGGAATTTATGCTTTTTAGAAAAGAAGCGATACGAATATGGCGATCGATCGGACGCTAACCAGATAGAAAAGGTTTAAAATTAAACGAAACCCCGTAGAGACTAGGTTTTTCACGCTTCCGCCGGAGCGACCTTTCTTCGTTGTTTTTTCAAAGGTGGATCGGTTTCACAACTGTTTAGCAGGCCCAGCGATTTTATTACCATGCAACTCGATCTCGCGGTATTTGCGGAACTTTATTACTCGACGGGGAAGTTTCGTGGTCCGCGCGCGCATCCTGGACTTTTCTTATTTAATAAAGATCCCGGGAAACAATTTTACTTTGAGATAGTTTTATCAGTGGCGCAACCGCGCGGAATTTATAATGGAATTTTTAAAACGCAGGGTCCCGAGGAGGATCAAGACTGGAAGAATAAGGACGACGAATTAAGGATAAGCCGATTGAGGCAACGCAGAGGTCGCAGTATAGTTCATCGAAGCCTCGAGGATAATTACGGCGCCGTGGTCGTTGCAAATCACGAAGCTCTCGCCCAGTTTCTCGACCAGGTACTTTCTCACTTTGCGCTTCCTTCTAAGAAAAATTTTCCAACTACTTATTCCGAGATCCAAATCCTACATTCATGAAATCTTCGATAAAATCTCAAGTGCTCTTTCATACAATACAATAGGATATTTTATTATTAGTTATTCCGGAGTATGCGTTCATGCTGCGGTGATTTACGATTAACGAAGCGGCATTGTTCCGGTATCTAATTTATCTTATTGACCTGGAATCTTTTCGCAAAAATTCACCGTCTAAAGAGATTTCAAGATCCAGCAAAATATGTAAAAATGCATATTTGCGATATTCAACTTTCTTGTTTCGTTACAGTCGCGTAATGTTTCATTAGGGTGATAATGGAATTTCAAAAACTTTCCTATGATGTATGAAACTTACGATGTATATTCGTAAAAGTTTTCCGTGGCAAATATTCGTGAACTAGATCCGCGAACCGCTATAAATAGATTCAGTCAGCACGAGTTCAATTAATCAGGGATTAACTAAAATTTCGTTGCAATAAATACAACTGAAATAAATGGAGTATTGTCCTCTAATTGGATCGTCCTATTTAGATTGTATTTAGATGTGTATTTTACTCGTACGACGTGGTTCATAGAATATGCATGGGACGTACATTTACTGTTGCAGCTGAACCAAACGCCTCAAATGCTTGCGGGGCTGCGAGCGTTGAAAAATACGAATCCGCGTGTAAGCCACTTCGGCATCGACGCCAATACGTCGATCACAGTCGGTAGAAGAATATTTTGCTCGGCGACGTGGAACGAGCTGAACGTCACCTTGTGCATCGCCTTCGATCTGGCTACGCATGTGTCGCGGAAGGAATTTTATTTGGCACCTATAATCGAGTTTATAGACAGCCCACCGAGGGAAATTACCGACAAGACGTGTCTGCGCGGGAACAAGAAGCTCGAAGGTACTTTATCGATCTCCTTATCCTTTCCTCCATAAATTACACGTTGCCACGAACCAATATTAATTCATTAAGGGCCAAACGACAGTTTTTCCGAACGTTATAAACGCTCTAATTTCTTTAAATTCCGTAAAAATATGAAAATTTAAATTCGCGATACCGTAAAATCGTTTTTATTATTTCAGCGACCATTTCTGTACTGCCGCGTTTACAAGTGAACACGATACAATTATACGGTGCGACGATCAAGGATTTGCACGATGAAGGAACAATTAGAGAAGCATCGTTCGTGCTCCTTCAATTCGTCACAGCGCTAAAGAGCCTTCAAGCGCGAGGAATCGAAGAATCTGCGAGAAGCTTGAACAACGTGGTTCTATGTAGAGAAGACAAGGACGCCTATTACAGGCTCTATCTTCTTCAAGGGTCGGTAAACGCGTCGAAGGAGCTTGCTCGACGCCAGCTCGAAATTGGTTCGCTCATTGCTCGATAACGTTTGACAGATTGAACGTGGAGACGAACGAGGAACGCGACGAGGAGAGGGTTTCGTTGTGTCAGTGCGCGCTCGTGGCGCTTCAACAACTCAACTTGGCCAGTAGACTGCCTCTGATTCAGGAGCTGCTCGTACGGGAGAAGGCAGTCACCTTGTCTCAGGTAAAATTAACTAGAACGTCGTCGGTTGTCTGTTTTCGCGAAGGAACAAATAATTTCAAAGATGAACGCTACAACGACTAGCGATACTACAGTGCCGTCACGCGAATGTCAAATATTCGATGGTGATATACAGTGACGACAAAAAATATTTGTCTGCGTCAGAATCTGGAAGAATTGAGAACTGAACGAAAATCTATATTCTCAACGTAGGTGAAATCCATCCTGGAATTTTCTCTGTGGGGTCCCGCGGACGTGACTTTCGGTGGTCCACGAGAAAGAGAAGTTACCCTCCAAAGATGGTTGGATCTGGAAAGAGCGAACGTTCTTCACGCGTTAGTGAGGACAAGGGCGCCGCTCACCGTCACCGACGAATACCAATTGCTATTCTTGGTTCGAACCAGTGCGAAAATTATGGGCGAAGCGTCCTTGCTTTTGGACGAACAACGAAATCGTCTGGTTCGGACTCGCTAAACGATCGTTCTATTTCTTCAAACGATCGTCATCAGGGACGAAGTCAAACAGAATCGACCAGTTTTTCATAGACGAAATACTATTTAATTATATTTATACATCTGGTAAATAGTGTATTAAAGATTTTCTAAATTCGAGAAACGTGTATAGTTTTCAGACGATCGAAAGGAACGACGTTTCGTTCGAACGAAACTGGACGATAGTCGCGATTGTACAAATGAGAACGCGAGGTTCCGAGTGGATATCAACGCTCGTTCGAAGAGAGATCGCGTGGGACGATGCTTTCGACCGAACGTTCTCGTTCATAATTAAGAACGATAATTACCTTCGATTAACATCCCCGATCGAGTGTAATCTTATTAAATATTTGTACAAATAAACGACAATTGCCATTTGACGTATTCCCCCTGGCGAACAATTTTATAGCTGATCCGATTAAGTGGAAACGCTAAATTACCGAAGCGTTCGTTGCGCGGTTATTACCGTAAATATCAAAGACACGAAAAGGCTATTATTAAGTTAATACTTTGGTCCGTAAGGAATACTTCTATTTTAAAGGTCTGCTTAACGTCTTCTCTTAAATCTTTAGAAAGCTCGTTCGTTTGTCTCGATCTTAACTTCTAAATGGCAACGTACATCAACTCGTTCAGAGATCACCCACGAGTCGACAAAAAAAGCCACCGATTACCGATCGTTGCTCTAACATTCTGCTGGAAACACTGGTCCGCTTGTACGACACGCAAACGCACACATTCTCGCGTGGCACCAGGCACCGTCGATTTATCAACGTCGCGGCGCGAAATCCAAGCCAAGTATCCGATACAACAAATTCCGTGTAATAGTCACGCACGAGATCGAACGCGTATTATCGTTAATGCAATAACGACGTGCGGCGTTGGTAGTTCGATAAATCAATAATCGGAATGGCGACCGACGGAAGATGCAATTTTTTGGCGGGGCTCGGTGAAATACGCGACACGTGGCCCCAATGCCTCTCGAACAACGGATTAAAAATTTGGCGCGGTTCCCGAACACGTTCTAAGTAATTCCTCTGCCTTTTCCTGTCCACCTTTTTCACTCTTCCTACCCCACCAACTCCTTTTAGACGCATTTTTTCCAGCAACGGAATTGGACCACGCAGGAATGCCGCGTTACCTGCGCGCCGAGCAGAAACGAGTTTTTAATTAAACCTTATGAATTTAATGGCACACACATACACATACACACACCCACACACCCACACGCGTACAAAAGCAGGCCGGATGGACGCGCTTCCGTGGACGCCGAGACGCTCGCGGAATCTCGTAAACCAACCCTTTTTAATAACTCGCCTCGGAGAGACGATTTTTAAACGAAGCTGCTCTGCATGCTTAACCAATAATCATGAAAAATTTTCCAAGCCGAAGGAATCGGACAAATCTAGATTTGCTGTGAGCGAATGTAAAATAGTTTTTTTTTTTCTCGTCAAGAAAAGGCTGAAGGGCTGTGCCGAGGGTTGGAAGAAAATATTCTATTGAATGTTTTATCGAAACAGAGGTTCCGGTTGAAGAGGGCTTGAACGTT